GACGAAGGCCCGAAGATACCCTGTGGTCCGGGGAGCGTGGGAAACCGGAGCCGGAGTCCGGAGGGCCGGAGCTCGGGGGTACCAGAGCTCTCGGAGGGCTAGAAGTCTGACCGGAAGACCAGTAGGGAACCGGGTTGCGCTGAGCACTAGCTGTAGGAGCGCAGGGGTCGACAGGAGTCTGTCGAGGAGGGGAACGGGGGGTCGGAGTGTGACAAAGGGGGAAGTCTGGAGGGAGTAGCGTTCCCAAGAAGGCTGGAGTGATGCAAGGAATAGCGGAGCGGGTCGGGGAAGCGGGGGGTTCCCCCTGACAGATACCCAACAACCACAAGATCTTTGAGCTTGAACTCTTTAGAGAGCTCTTCAATGACCTTGTCAATTTCAGCAAGAATGATGACACGCGTCAAGCCTCTAGCGAAGACGAAGCAAGAGCGGTCAGACTGGAGACATGTGAAGCCCATCTTAACCAGCTTTGCACACAGGACCTTGTACCATTCACGGCCAGCTTGCCTCAGACCATAAATGGTGCGATGAAGCTTAAGAAGCTGGTCATGCCGTCCCTGAGGAAAACCTGGTGGCTGAGTCATATAGACGTCCTCCTCCAAGTGACCATTCAGGTAGGCAGATGAGAAGTCAATGGAACGAAGTTTGAGGTCGTGCTGTGCAGCCAGTGCAAGGAAAATGCGGAGTGTGGCAGGTTTTACAGTAGGGGAGAAAATCTCGTTGTAGTCAACACCATATTTCTGGGTGCGACCATCTGCAACGAGTCTCGCCTTGTAACGCTCAATGGAGCCATCAGACTTGTGCTTTATAACAAAGACCCATTGGGAACGAACTGGCTTAATGCCAGGGGGTGCATCCACAACTTCCCAGGTGCAGTTCTCAAGCAGAGCATTAATCTCGGCAAGAGCAGCTTCCTTCCACAAATGAGCATCCTCACGCTTACTCGGTGTGACCAAAAGTAACGGGAATTTGGCTTTTTAGAGCGGAATTTCAAAACTCAAACAAATTCAAGTGATACAGGGCTCCTCTAAATCATTTTTTCTACGACTTCCATGGTATGGGCATGGCATGCAATGTTTTGTTTTGAGTTGGTGATTTAATCTTTGAAAGTGGACCAATTTGGAAATATTTGCGCTGTCTGAAGGGGAGATGCCAGAGTTTCGAGCCAGTAAGTACTTCAGAAAGGTGCTTAGTATCCCAATAGTCTATAGATCCAGTACTTAAGGTTGGGAGGTGTTTCCCATTGTTCAGAGAGGGAGGGAACTCGGCACACCAATTTCCCGCCTCAAAGCATACATAAAAAGAATGTGTAATAATCGGACAAAGAGACCATGCAACCTTTTGCCTGCCTTGTATGCAATGGTATACGCTTATACACTGCCGATGGCGTCAGTTTGCCCAGCAGTCACCCACAAAATCTGGTTGAAAACACGCAATTTCCGATTCCGGTTACTTTTGGTCACACCGAGTAAGCGCTTCATGGTAAGAGCGCGGCTCGCCAGCATGCAGAGCAGACTCTGCAGAATGCACATGAGCAGCATTAAGCGCTTGGAGATAAGGGCTCAAAGGATCGCCTTCATGAGCAATGATAAGCGCTTTGAGAAGCAACTCATCATCACTCTCCTCATCCTCTTGAGCAGGAGCCGGCTCTGCTGGCGCAACAGGCGGATCAGCAGGAGCGGGCTCAACTGGCACAGGAGGTTGGTTAAGTTTCCACCACTCAGCAGCAGGTTTGCGTTCAGTGGTTTGACCATGGTAACGCCGACGTGCAGCGATTCCAATAGGAGAAGGAGGTGGTGATTGCTGCTGAGGAGGGTCATTGGCAGGAGGAGGTGGAGCGGGTGAAGGCGAACGAGAAGTGTGATTGGAAGGAGGATTTGGATTTGGGGGATTGGGAGGTGGAGCAGGAGGTGCATGATAAACACCAAAGTCATCATCCTCATCATCGTCTCCCCCATCATTGCGCAACTCCTGCACAACTGGAGGAAGATCAACAAATTCAGAGGATGGACTATTAGGACAGAGTTTCAGAAGAGTTGGTTTGTTCCCAGGGTAATAGCGCTCATCAAAGACTGCGCGCTCAGAGACAACAATTTTGCGTGTCTCTGGATTGTAGAAAAGCCATCCCTTGTGTTGTGTGGGATATCCCACAAAGACGCACTTTTGAAAGTGGATGCCGGAGTTGTCCCGTTTATCTCTCTGCACATGAACATAGGCAAGACAACCCCACACCCTAAGGTGTGACACATCAGGCTTACGCTTGTACCACAGCTCAAACGGAGTAGTATCTCCAGGGATATGAGCTGAGGGATGCATATTGCTAACATGAACATAAGCCGCAACTGCAAGCGCTTTAAAAGAAGGCGGCAGATTAGCTTCATGTAGCATAGCCGTAGTCGTGCGATTAGCACGCTCTGCTGTCCCGTTCTGCTGCGGTCTATTCCTTGTCGAATGACGGCGCACAATGCCACAAGAGGTAAGGAAATCCTCAAACAATAGAGACATGTACTCCCCACCTTCATCCTCTTGAAACTCTTTGATTTTGCAACCAAAGTGATTCTCAGCATAAGCTTTGAACACCTTGAATGCATTGAGCGCACCACTCTTGCGCTTCATGTGCATACACAATTTGAAGCTTGTGTGATCATCAACAAAGACAATACGATGTCTCCACCCCTCACGGGTGAACACTTTGTACTGCTTCAGATCAGAGTGTATTAATTCAAGAGGTGCAGATGCACGATGTCCAGTGGAAGGAAATGGAGCCGCATTCAGCTTGCCAGCAAGGCATGGCTCACTGATGGGATCTGGCTTCTGATCTGAAGTAAGCTTCGCACCAGTAACCAGATTCTTGCTCAAGATCTTCTGGGTGTCATTGTGATGCCCAAGTCGACGATGCAACAGTTCCAGATCAAGAGGCAAAGTCGTCATTGTGATGCCCAAGTCGACGATGCAACAGTTCCAGATCAAGAGGCAAAGTCCCAACTGCAGCCAAAGCTGAAACAGAATCAGAAGGCACTTCTCTCACAAATGCTTGGTTCCCCTCGTCAATATCCGCTTCAAAGAATGTTTCACCATCCTTAACAAAACAGATAGTGTTCTGCTCCATGAGAATAGAGTAGCCATGAACACGAGATAGATAGGTGGTAGAGACGAGGTTATGAGATAGATTGGGAACATAGAAGACATTTGTGAGAATTCCATGCTTGCTACTACGTCCGTGTATAAGTGGCTTAAGCAAGATCTCTCCTTTTAATTCAGAGTACACTACAACTGTTGGAATGTGGGTTTTGCCTCTGACATCTCTCACTCTCATGAGTGTCACCACTTTGATCCTTTATGATCCTATCATCAATATCTGATCCTACTGATCCTATGCATCCCTCTGATCCTTCATGATCCTATCACTGATACCTGATCCTACTGATCCTATGTCCCTTGTTCTCTTTATGGTAATCCCCTTGTTCCCAATTAGGTAGTTCCTTTATCTTACCATATGTAGCATTCCCTTTGTTCCTGTACCTATATATACAGCCTAGCTAGTGCCTTGAGTCCTCAGTTCTCACTGTTGACTTCAGGCAAGTATTTACTTCACATTGCAATCTACTAGAGTTCTCACTGTTGACTTCAGACCTCTGTGCTTGCCTGTTCAACAACAACTCCATTTGCGACTTGGATGGGAACCCTGTGCGGAACGGCATTCAGCAGAAGCCCACGTTGATGGGTCATGTGCGATGTGGCGCCTGAGTCTGAGTTCCATCGTTTGTCAGCAAAAGATGAAGTGGAGGTAGTTAGAAGACTTGCATTAGAGGCCACTTGGGACGTTGCATTTGGACCACCACCAAATTGCTTCTTGCCAATAAGTTCAAGGAACTTGAAGCAGCGATTGAGATAGTGGCCTGGTTTCCCACACCCTGGGCAGACCGAAGTCGCAGCAGGTGCAGGAGGTGGTGCAGCAGCAAGAGCAACAGCAGGAGATGAGGGGGCAGCAGGAGCAGAGGTGGATGCAGCCATGGCCAGACCAGAGAGAGGATTCTGGTTGGCATCTCCCTGATTAGCAGATCTGAATGCCTGGTCATTGGTATAGGCAAGTTCGACTTTAGTGGCATCCAGATCATCAGGGGATTGCTCAAAGGGCGCTTTAAGGATAGCAAAGCGCCCTTCATCAGGGAGAGCCATAAGGAGGACCATAGCATGCAACTCTGCATCTGCATTGTCTAGAGTGAAGTCCTTGGTGCAAGACTCTTTGAGCGCTCTCATGGCAGTAGCGGTGCGACCAACCAGAGAGACTAAGCTCTCACTCTCACCAAGACGAATAGAGGTGAGAGTGCGGTAGGCAGTGAAACGAGTGCCTGCCTTTCTAGGGGAAAAGCGCTGCTCCAAAGAGAGCGCAAATGTTCCTTGACAAGAGGCTTGACATCATCACCCAACATCTGCCACAAGAGACCAGAGCATCTGTCTCTAGCCTCTGTGTTGATTTCTGCATCAGAAGCTGCAGGCAGACAATAAGACCAGACACCCTTGGCTTTGAGTTTAGCCTTGGAGTCACTGGACCAGTGGAGAATATAGACTCCTTGGTAAGGATGGGAAGCCTCTCATCATGAGTCATGGCAGAGAGAGAATATGGGGGGATATAGGGAATGGAAAATGCGCAGGAAAGATGGATGATAAGCTAGAACCACCTGCACAAACAGATGGCGCCCTCAGGAGTGTGTGTGTGAGAAGAGGCAACTAAAGTAGGTATGTGTACCTAATGTAACTGATGCTAAAGAACACCCAGTTGTAAGGCACTTAGGCCCTAACCCCAGAATCAACAGGATTGACTACTGTTTGTTTTCTGGTGGATCAAAGACTACCTCTCAAAGAGGATTTGTCCCAACAGTTGGTGTTCCTAACTACAAGACTTAAACACACACACTATAAGGGCAAAGAGAGTGAAGAGCGCAGAGGGATGAGATCTCAAGTGTTGAAGTCTGGGGTTTAGTACCGTTCGCACTATCGGCAGAATAGCTCAGTTGTTAGAGCATCTCACATGACATGAGAAAGTCGCAGGTTCAAATCCTGCTTCAGCCATTTTCCCAACATGGTAGCAGCAACTACCAGATGTAATTAATTCTCCTGGTGAGTTTTGTGGAGTGCCTTGTGGGATTAATGGTGCCCCCCTTTGTGAGTTCTGGAAGCCAATAGTGCTTCGGTTCCGGGGGAGTGTTGGGGTCTGGGGTTTAGTCCCGTTCGCACTATCGGCAGAATAGCTCAGTTGGATACCTTCGGGTTAGAGCAAAATCACATGACATGAGAAGGTCGCAGGTTCGAATCCTGCTTCAGCCATTTTCCCAACATCAAGATGATAAATTCAGGAGATGTTCAAAGGCCGGGGCCCATAACCTGTTGAACAGGCAAGCACAGAGGTCTGAAGTCAACAGTGAGAACTCTAGTAGATTGCAATGTGAAGTAGATACTTGCCTGAAGTCAACAGTGAGAACTGAGGAGGGGGCGCTCAATTCTCGGGGGGGGGGATGTATTATACTCGCGCGGTCCACAGTCTGAACTGCGAGTTTACGGAAGACATACATTGTATCCAGAGCTGTTCTAGACGCGATCTGTGACTATATCTCCAATGTTGTGGTGATTGGGGACACAGATACAATTGTCACGTCGCGTTACAAGGCTGTGATAAGGCATTGATTTCACTGATTTTGGCTTGTACGGCGATTCCCCGCGGAACCTGGACACAGAAGGGTCGGTAAACATGCAGAATTCGGAGAAGTAGACCTGGATATGCGTCGATGTGAAGAACTAGAGTAATTTTTCCAACTAACCTGTGTCAACCCGGCCTGCTACGTATAACGAGTCACCCTGGTGCACTATGGTGCACTTTGCTGCATTTCTGGGAGTCGTACATCAGAGGCAGCTCAATGCCGAGGTCAAGCTCCCAGCCAGTCCCTGATTCACCGGTCGGTAAAGAAATCAAGACAGCGACATATAGTGATCCGTCACTTCTTGGCAATCCAGACAACGGCTTAAAAAACAATCAGCTTATATTGCTAGTCAGCATATAAGTCTCAATACCATTGTGCCCCCCCAGCCCAATGCTTCGGAGTGAGCAATGCTGATTTCGTGCATGGTCGGAACAGCTATCGCTGGAACAATCGTCCCGCTATTTGATTGGGAACTTCTGCAGCGACATAGAACCAAGAGAACAAATGAAAAGAGAAGGAGGGAAATTGCGATGGTATAGCTGTTCCGAGAGCGTTGGCCTTGGTTCATCAAGAGACAGAATGACTAAGCACCTTTGTGGATTAATGTGAACAGAGCCCGGTGGGGAGTGGTGGCTGGAGCGTCCCAATTCTGCGCCTGACTTGTTGATGCGGAATGAGGAAGGGAAAGGCGACCATTGCGATAAGTATACCTAAACTTCGAGTTTTTTTTTTTAAAATACCCCGGGTCCAGCGGCAAGCACGGCCAGTTGCTCATAGTATGATACTGTATACCTGTCATACATTGGGGGTCGGAACCTCAATTGATTTTGGGCTTGAATTGAAGAGCAAACGCCCAGTGAGCATTTTGCGATGCCGAAGCCAACCAGAAGCACTGCCAAAACGCTCAAAGAAGCAGGCATTGAAATCTTGGTGTGCGTTTACTGGTGCGGTGACAGAAAGTCTAGTGGCCGCCGCCAGAAATCTGGGGAAGGGTGGGAGAGGCGACGGGATGGGACGATGGGGATAAACTTTGGAAACAGAGTAGTGACGAATTCGAATATGTTCGCAGGTCGGAGGCAGAAGCCGGGCAAAAATCGCAGGAGAACCATACTGGAGAGGAGACGGAGTCAGCGCACGTCAGTTCATGAGGCTACTTGTTGTTGAAGTATTTATTTCTCTTCCATTTACCGTACATACCTTACATTCTCCAACTCGCAATCCGTTCCGTTACGCGTCACACATTCCTTATGTAGCTTTGTGTCTATGTGCACTCGTATCTACAGCTTACTGATTCTCCTGGTAGTTTATACTTACTGTATTCTATCAGGTATATAATACACGAGTCGTTTCCTCCACGACTGAGTTTATACTTACTGTATTCTATCAGGTTATGGGCTACCGCGCCTCTGCTTAATCTCATCCAGTACTGGACCGCTACTTGTCGAAAACTCGACGACTCTCTTTAATTCCCCACATCTACCCTGCTTCCCGCCACATTTTACACCAAACTTGTCGACTTCTCGCTGACACGTCATGCCCGATCCGGACACCGAAACTTCGACGGCTTCTTCCTGGGATTTACCCCACAGCGCTGGGACTTTCTTTCCGCGCGGGGAGGACCGCCTCAAGGACGAAACCGGGTACTTCCCGTGGTCCAAACGGATGAAGTCAGCGTACGAGACAATCGAAATCTGGGATATTGTTTCCACGGTATCTAAGCCGGGGGACAAGGCGTCTGCGGAGGAGCACAGGATTTGGAAGAAGAAGGACAGGTCCGCACTCTCATATTTGCTGTCTTCTGTCGACAGCGAGCTCGTCGTCAAAGTCTCAGACTATGACACTGTCCACCAAGCTTGGACCGCTCTCGAGACCGAGTTTGGGCAGACTGGGACTGGGGGTATTATGCTCTGGTTCCGTCAGCTCACTCGTCCCCTCCTTGACGATGACACGCTCGCACTCGATCAGCATGTGAAGGACTTCCAGAAAGCGCAGACTCATCTTACGAAGGCCGGATTCAGTATCCCCGGTCCTATCGTTAGCGCCATCTTCCTCTCCACTCTTCCCTCCGATCCAGACGACCCCAAATCCTACTATTCCCTTGTCCAGAGCGCCAAGATTGACGACACGACTACTCTGGTCTCTACGATCCAGGGTGTCCTCGATTCCTGTCGCCGCAGAAAGTCCCCGAAGACCGAGGGTCAGTCGCAGGAGTCTGCCCTCGCAGCGTTGGAGCACGCTGCCATCGCTCGCGGTACGAAATTCTCGTAACTGCAAGCATGAAGGTCATATCGCGGACAACTGCTGACAACCGGGTGGCGGTAAGGCCGGTCAGGGCGCGAAGCAGCAGCAGCACAAAAAGAAGGGGAAGAGGGGTAAGGGCAAGGAGAAGGCCCACAATACGGATGGAGGGGGAGACGAAAAATCCAATAATGTACGCTTCGAGAAATGCTTAGTGGCCGACCCCTCCTCTTACTCCCTGCGTGATGAGAGCATTCCGGCTACACCTCCGACGTCATCCTCCCAGACCAACAACTCCGCGTACAGTGCACGTACAGCGGGTGCGTCTACCATCATCGATTGCGGTACATCGACACACATTCGCTCCGTTCGACGCGACTTCGTTTCTTACGCCCAAGCCGTATCTGGAAATATCAGCGGGTTCGGCAACGGTTCGAGGAAAATCAAGGGTCGCGGTGCGTCCCATCCTAAGGGTGGTAACGTCCGACTCAGGTTGAAAGATACCTGTTATGTCCCTGACTCTCAGCCGACGCTTATATCAGTGTCGCAGCTTGATCAGGCGGACTGTTACACCGTCTTTGGCGGTGGACGCTGTGTTACCTTTGAGAAGGGTGAACCGTGACAGTGGCAAGCTCATCCGCAACCTCATTTCGTCCGAGAAGGTTATTCTGACCGCCTCTCTCGGCAGCGATCGCCTCTATCACCTCGATTCCTCCTCGTCGACGGAGAATTCTTTTTCCACCTAGATTGAGGAGAAAGGCTTGACGTCTTGCGGGGAGGCTTGAGGTATGGCTTGAGATCTTGTGGGGCATATCTTGCAGCAACAGGGGAGGGACTCGGAAGCCTTGACGACATGGACGGTTGATGGACTTGACATGTCATGTTTGGGGAACGTTTTCAACGACGTTGACGCAAGAGTCGCTGGCGGAAAGAGGGAGGTGAAGGCGGAGAGATGGTGCCATTGGTGGGAGAGGACAAGAAAGACGAACCAAAGTCACGCCATTTGTTGCCGATCTGTCAACGGTAACCATCACCCCTTGATCGCATCAGCGGAGATTGAATGATTTCGTTCACTTCCCAACTTCAATAGGGGCGCTCAATTCTTAGCTCGTCGGCTTGTCTCGTCCCAGAAATTATTTAATTGCATGATGAGCTGATGAGCTGCTGATCCCACTCCGCATTTCTCTCCACTTCCCATCAAATTTTGATCCCCTCATCAAAAAATCGATATTCTACGGACGAGACGAGCTGACGAGCTAAGAATTGAGCGCCCCTAATATGGCTTGTGTTGCACTTCCATTCGCTGTATCGGCGGGCAGACAACTTCCGATGCACTTTTGACTCAAAGGAATGAAATTTGGTGCATCTTTCAATTTATCCTACTCAGGTAAGCTACACAATCTAGCATACAGTGGTAATGAGGAGAAATTTCCTCCAATTGCCTTTGTTTGGAATCTGTCAGGGGATTCCACAGCTAGGACGTCCTTTGACTTGGGCAGAAGTTCTCTGTCTTCAAGACATCATGCTGTGTGCTCACTTATGTCATATCTTACGTCACCTCTTGTATATAAGTAGTCCGCTGGGGATCTCTGATCCCCAGGTTTGTTATCGACTTGGCTCCTGGGCCCTTCTCCCCTTACAGCATAACAAACCTTCTATTCGACTCTGGCACTCTCCTAGCCCCAGCCGACCACCCTACTTCCTACTCTGCCCTCATCCTACCATCGACCTTACACCTCCCTTGCTATGGCAACCCCCGCAGTTCCTCAGGACCTTTATTCCTACTGCACTCTCCTTCGAAGCGAACTACAGCGCGTCCACGACCGTCTTGATCGTCTTGAGTTTGGGGACACTGCAGCCTCTACTCCCCGAGGGCATGCCTGGCGCTTCTCCTGGGATGGCGCTCGCTGGGGCTCTGAACCTTCAACCCCGGCCCCTACCCCTGCCATCATCGCTGTCGGCCACACCGCCATACCACTCGCCGAAACCCTCCCTACTGCACAGGACGCACCGTCCCGCTACTCGTGTACGCTTGTGGTGCCTGACTCGGTCGTCGGGCATATCGTTGGCCGTGGTGGTAAGGGTCTTCATCAGTCGCACGACATCTCCGGCGCCCAACTTCGAGCCTATACTGAT